ACCTGAGGTGGCAGAGGGTTGGCAGGGGGGACTTGGGACAGGACATGGCTGGGGGGGGCTGCCTGCGGCAGGACTGCGGAGCCGTTCTGGGCCGGCTTGTTCTGGGTCCGGTCGACCATCTTGGTCCACCTCTCCAGAAGGTTCCGGTCGTTTTCTGTCAGCATGTCCTTGCGCTCCTTCTCCTTTTCCTTCTTCTGCTTCTCGCGCTCCTTGGCTCGCTCCTGACGCCGCTTGCGTTTCTCCTCACGCTCGCGCTGGCGCTCCTTCGCCGTCACCGGCCTCCGGATATCGGGCGTCTCTGGGATGGCGGACGGGGTATCTGCGGGACAAAGACAGCCGCTTTAGAAAGCAGACATTTGTCCGTCGGACATTTACAGCTCTTTTGTGGTATTTCCCCATTCTACATTCACGGCCCTTTTGTGGCCCAGCGTATTTCAACTGCCCAGTATAGAGCCAGTCAGGTGCAGGGGTAGGGGTTAGACCAGTGGTGGCGAACCTATGGCACGGGTGCCAGAGGTGGCACTCATAGCCCTCTCTGTGGGCACGTGTGCCATCGCCACAGCCAGGCCCAGACCATCATTAAAGTGCCGAATTCTCTGCCAAATAATTTTAAGTAAATGAAAGCATTTGGGATTGCTTTCCTTACTTTGTTTGGATCATCTTAAGTTAATGTATGAGTTGTTTTTCCTCAAGTAAAACCTCAGTATTCAGGTTCAATTGCCGTGTTGGCACTTTGCGGTAAATAAGTGGGTTTTGGGTCACAGTTTGGCCACTTGGTCTCTAAAAGGTTCGCCATCACTGGGTTAGACTGTCCAACTAGAATCTGGGAGACCCAGTTCAAATCCCCACTTACGCCACGGAGAGTTGGGCCAGTCACACGCTCGCAGCCAGATTTACCTCACAAAGCTGTTGTGAGGATAAAATGGAAGAGAAGGGAAGGGTATAAGCCACTCTGAGTCCCCCACTGGGGATAAATACAGTGCATAAGCAAAGTAAAATATCTATTACAACTTAGGATGATAAACAGACAGGGCAACAGGGCAGCTTCCATCTCTTTGGATGCATTCAAGGGGAAGAGAAAAATAGAGTCGATCTTGGGGGTTCAAAGGCATTTTTGAATGCGGCTACAGAAACAGCATTTAAAAACTCCATCTATTCGTGCACTCTCTCATTTAAACACCCAGAGGCTGGTACTACCCCCATATTCTACTGAATACATCCACCTCCACAAGAGTCCAGACTCAAATGTACTTCACAAGCCAGATGTTCGGAAGACAAACTCCTTTCCCTTCCCCTCCCCACAACAGACACCCTGTGAGGTAAGTGGGGCTGAGAGAGCTCTTTCCAGGACTGCCCTTGAGAGAACAGCTCTGAAAGAACTTGTGACTGACCCAAGGTCACACCAGCAGCTGCATGTGGAGGAGTGGGGAATCAAACCCGGTTCCCCCAGATTAGAGTCCTCACTCCTTACCACTACGCCATACGAACGGGGGAAAAACACAGTCCAGGAGACTCCCCCTCTAGGCCTCACACATCTATCAAGGAAGCCCACGGGTCAAAACACAGACTTCCGATCCGCCAGAAACCCCCCCTTCCCGCCTTACCTTTGTTCTTATTCCGGAGGGCCGACTTCAAGATGACGGCCTTGAGGGCGGCCTTGGTGTCGTCCGAGATGGCTCCCTCCCGTTTCGGTGGGGCAGCGGGAGGCTCCGCTTCGGCCTTCACCTCGGGCCAGAAACCCCCCCTTCCCGCCTTACCTTTGTTCTTATTCCGGAGGGCCGACTTCAAGATGACGGCCTTGAGGGCGGCCTTGGTGTCGTCCGAGATGGCTCCCTCCCGTTTCGGTGGGGCAGCGGGAGGCTCCGCTTCGGCCTTCACCTCAGGCTGGGGGACGGCAGCAGTCGCGAGGGGAGAAGTGAGGTCAATGGTCTCCGGGAGCGGGTAGGGGGTGGGGGACGCCATGGCGTAGTCGCCGTCCCTGGGCCTGGGCGAGCCGGCGCTGGGCATGTCGACGTCCTGGCAGCAGAGCAGCAGGCCTCGGTCGGAGGCCGTCACGCAGCCCCCGATGACCGCCGGCCGCAGCGCCGGCTTGAAGCTGATCTGGCGGCGGATGCCCTCTCGGCGGTCGTGGAAGTCGTTGATCTCGGCCACGATGGCCTCCTTGATCTGCTCCTTGGTCAGCACCTGCTTGTCAAAGTCGAAGTCGAAGGCCGGCACGCAGTCCGGCTCGTCGTCGGGGTCGTGGTACTTGGCCAGGAAGGGGTGGTTCAGCGCCTCCACCACCGAGATGCGCTCGCGGGGGTCGAAGCGCAGCATCTTGGAGAGCAGGGACAGGGCCTTGCGGTCGGCGTGCTGGTAGAGGCTCTCCCACGGCACCGGCTGGCGCGACGGCAGGCTCTGGACGTAGGCCCGCACCCGGTCCGCCCCGATGGAGTGGACCACCTTGGCCGGGGGCGTCCCCAAGACGGTGATGATCAGCTGCAGCTGGTGGATGTAATTCTTCCCGGGGAAGAGCTGCTTCCGCCCGAGCATCTCGGCGAAGATGCAGCCCACCGACCACATGTCGATGGCCTGGGTGTACTCGTGCAAGGAGAGCATCAGCTCGGGGGCCCGGTACCAGCGGGTGGCCACGTACTCCGTCATGAAGTACTTGTACTCGTCGGGCTTGGTGCAGAGGCCCCGGGCCATGCCGAAGTCGCCGACCTTCAGCTCGCAGTTCTCGTTGATCAGGAGGTTGCTGGGCTTGAGGTCCCGGTGGATGACGTTGGCCGAGTGGATGTACTTGAGGCCCCGGAGGAGCTGGTAGAGGAAGTAGCGCACGTGCTCCAGGGTGAGGGGCTGGGAGGAGTGGATGATCTGGTGCAGGTCACTCTCCATCAGGTCCAGCACGACATACCTGCCGAGAGATTTCACTTTCACAAGGGGGGGAATGACCACTGTGTCAAGGTCGCCCGGAGGAGCGGCCTTTGGGAGAAAGAGGAAAGGACGGAAGGGGCTGTGGATCAGCGGCAGAGCCTCTGCTTGGCACGCGGAAGGTCTCAGCTTCAAGGTCTCGGCCACGTTGGCGTAGCGGTTAGGGGCGCGGATTCTAATCTGGGAGAACCAGGTTTGATTCCCCCACTCCTCCACATGCAGCTGCTGGTGCGACCTTGGGTCAGTCACAAGTTCTCTCAGAGCTGTTCTTGAAAGGGCAGTTCTCGAGAGAGCTCTCTCAGCCCCACCTACCTCACAGGGTGTCTGTTGTGGGGAGGGGGAAGGGAAAGGAGATTGTAAGCTGCTCTGAGACTCCTTTGGGTAGTGAAGGGCCGGGGTATAAATCCAACGTCTTCTTCAGTCCCCAGTCTCTCCAGTTAAGGATCAGGTGTTAGGAGATGGGGAAGACCTCTGCCTGAGACCCTGGAGAGCGGCTGTCAGTCAGAGCAGGCAATACCAACTTTGACGGACCAACGCTCTCATTGAGTGTAAAGAGCAGAAACTACGCCATAATGGTGACTATGCTTCATAATGAAGTTGCATTACATATAGTCCTTAAGTAGATAGCAATCACACAACAAAAAATGTGATCTTGTGATGTAAATTAAGAAAAGTCCCCTTCTTGTAATGCTGCAGAACAGTTTTCAGAAAACAGTGTGCCGGCTAATGCTATAAACAGAGGGCTTTGCGCCAGATTATGAAAAGACTGTAAGACTGGCCCTGACCTGGCTGGCCCAGGCAAGCCCGATCTCACCAGATCTCGGAAGCTAAGCAGGGCCGACTCTGGCAAGTCCTTGGAAGGGCGACCTCCAGGGGATACCAGGGCCAAGAGACAGAGGCCGGCTCCGAACGTCCTCCGTGCCCCAGTAGGAATAGCCAGAGGTCGCCAGAATTCCAGGCACGGGCACACACACTCACAAATGCAAAAATACAAAAAAAAGACTATAAGACTGGCTTGCTTCTTATATAAATGCAACGTTATAAACAATAGGGAAGCAGCCCCAGAGGAAGACTTACAAAGAATCTCCGGCTAAGGAAAATTAACCACGGAACGGGCTTACATCTGGATGCTCATCGGTTCATTCCAGTTCATTCCAGAAGTTGTTCTGCAGCATTACAAG